CTACATTTTCTCAATAGCACTTCATTGAACAACTAAATTATCTTCAGTCTTACCCATGGATCTTATGTGCAGTTGCCACAGCTGGAAACCAATATATGACCTCATAGTCACTGCCGTGGGCTTCCTCAGCTAGTTAAATGAAAAGCTGGCTTGTGGTTCCTCTAATATATGCTTAGCATGGCGCGGACAGCGTACTCACTCTAAGAGAACCGCGCGAGTAGTAACGCGTCCATGTTACTGCAAGTGTTACAATGTGACGGCGAATGCCTGCAAAATAACAGCAATAAAATCAGAAGAAAGCAAAGTGCGGGAGCGCTGTACAAGTGAACGCACATGTGCACGTGACCTTGAGGGCCCGCCGCTAAACTCGAGGTACCGGGTTTGATACCACCCCTATGGTCTTGGCTTGCAAAAGCCAATCCTGTTTCTTATCATTTTATTCAAGGTGAACTACAATGGAGTAATTACTCTGTACTAGCACTTTATAAGGGCGGGTGCAGCATATTTACTTTAGTCGCCGTTACCCGACGTGGTCACTAGATGACGTTCGGCTACTGAGTACAGGGTTGCCAGTTCAACTACTGACCGTGGCGGTCGCATTCCTTTCAGGGCTGGATGCAGACACTCGTCCCCGTGTGTCGTGCTTTGAGCGTGCGTGTTAATAAACTGAGCGTAGTGAAGATGAAATTGACGTGTCTCCCATGGGCCGCGAGCTGTGTGGGGTGGTCGGACATTCCCTTTCAGCCTGCTATGAGCACGGAGAACGAGTTAAGCGGTGAACGCATGCTTATCCACGGGCTTAATTATTGCGCAAGACGGAAGAATTCTTACTCGTTTGCGTATTCAAGGTCACCAACATCTATGAAGTGGAGGCAACGTAGTTTTTAAAAAATGGTGCTTTTTTGCGAGAGTGGAGATGTTTTTAGCTTTGCAGATATGATGAAGTAGAAGTTACACGTAATATTTTAGCGTGTACGTTTCAACAACGCTAATACTGAGTCAGTCACGTATTAACGTCAGTTGCAACAACTAATGGCGTCACTGAACGCCCTTTTTATACACAGCATCGTTGTAAAAAATCCGCATCTATGCTATATTTGAAGGTACAGAGAGCAAAATGATCTCCACTTGCTCTGTCTACATAAAAAGAACAATAAGTAGCGCTCTGATATTGGCACAACGTTCTTATACCTTCGTGAATTCGGTCAGATATTTCACTTGGTTAATGGATGTGACACATAGGCATTTATATTGCCACTCCTCATTACTTCTGCTCAAACAGCAACAAAGAATACGTCCTAACGCTAATTAAATATAAAAATATGAAGAGCGCTCAATGACGGATATACCTTTGCCATAGGTAAACAGCTTATCTCCGAACATGGAACATTACATCCTGTTCATGCAGATCCGAAACATTCTCAGATGAAGGTACTCAACAGGCTGACTCAGAGGGGCCAGTTTTTTTAAGCACAGTAAAACGAAGTCACCATAGAGGCGCCGAAGCTTATTTCACTGAGGCTGTTTGAAACCTGAAAGACAATAGGTGAAGGGCCTGGCGTATGAACAAAGTGTATTTGACACTGTCCACGGAGTCTACTTGAACGTAAATACGTGCGTTTTTATTCATAAACGTGGAGCGCACTTGTATTTTTTAGCACTACAGTGTAATTCACTGCTGTGTGCCGGACTGCACAATACTGTTGGGGGTCATGAATGAGATAGGTCAGCAGATACGAAATATGGAATCACCAAGCACGAAGAGGTGTCTGTCAATTGGGCTGCAAGGTGTTCTAAATATCGCAAACATAAATTATTCGCAGCGCAAACAAAAACGACGTATATTTCAGTACTCTCGGTATGCTTACTACAGCAGATTCAACGCACAGACCAAGAGTGTGCCATAAACTGGCTGTTCATTTCAACTACTGATTACAGCTTAAGCCGATCGGCCGCCTACAGTAACATACCAGCCTAAACTGGGCCGTTCAGCGCGTGATAGCGAATCGCACACCCCATACGTTGGGTCGAAGAAGCGAGACACTCTGCTGCCGTAAAGAAAAAAAAAACAAGGACCCAATGTGCTCGCTGTGCCTTGGCCCAGGCATGCCTGACCTAGTTCAATAGCTAGTCGCACAGTGCGGCATAAAACACTCGTATGCGCTGCGATCGATCCTTCTTGAGAACGCACTACTACCATGTGAGCATTGTGCGCTGAACAATGCCGATCGCTCGGTGCGACTGACAACAAAAAAGATGCCTAGACCAATTCACGATGATTTCCTTAGGCAATGTGCATAAGAGATGCAGCGAAACTACGTAACTTGCAGGACGTAAACATGCGTCATAGTTTGTTTTTTCTCGACGTACATGCACAAGTATCTACGTTTGACCTGACGTTTTCGCACATAAAAAGATTACGTACGCAACAATTCGTGCAAGCAGTTCCTGGATTTGACACAAGCGTCTCCAATGACATGCGTTGTACTCCTGAATGTATGGTGTCCCATGTAGAAAAGCCTGTTGGCTCGTGAAGTGCCTAAGAATGCGTCAGTAATAACAGTTGCATAACTGGTATCCAGGGGAAAAGAACTGTCGCTGTCTACTTTTCACGACAAGTAAGAGAAAAAAACAACAACCAAACACCCAGCTGTGTGTGCCTGTTCACCGGAATGTTAAACAAAATATTTGCTGTTACAAAGATTCGAAGCTTTTTTCCCCTCTACATTCATAGTAGATGTAAACATAATGCCAAATGAGTACTTGTACAGACTCTTACGAATAATCAGCCATTAAGGGTACAGTGAATATCTTTTCCTGTAAACTTTCTACGTGTAAACATGTTAACGCATTGACTTCGCAACGCATGTGGAGCTTGTAGACAAATCGTAAAGCCGCAATAAACAAATTCTTACCCTGGGCCATGTTTTATGTGAAATAGCCAGAGAAATATATGACAAGAGGCACTTGGTGAACAATGGAACAGCGTGAGCACATGTTTATACCTGTAATTGTTAAGTGAATAGCTATATTTCAAGTAAACTTCATTCCAATATGTGTCGAATCCAAGGTAGAATGTAAGCGAAATTATCATGACGTAAACATTTTGGGCATATGCGGAAGGACAAAGAAAGAAGGTATAACGAGGCCGAATTTTCGACAAAAGGACTATCTTTTGTCCGTATCTAACCACGAAAATTTATAAGAACTTTATCCGTTGCAGCAGCAATTGGGGTCGGGGGGGGGGAAGAATGGGGGCTTTGTACACTAGTCATGTTGAATAGTATTAGCTGGTTCTAACTTGCCCCAAAGAACAAGATGCCCTTATATCCTGCATGCTATGAAGTCTGGAAGTGTTGAAGATTATCATTAGCAAGCTGACGCATTTCGCTTGCACGCAACAATGCTGAAGTATAGCAAGCCACCTTCCTTAAAATTTATCAAGCGGTGGAATACTCGGCACGCAGCGTTTAACAAACAACGTGCTCTTGAAGTGACTGTTAACTAACTAATGTTACCATAATTAAACTAGATTGTTTCTAAGAAAAATGAGGAGCCTATAAAAACAAATACTTCAAAGCTTCCAACTTGAGGAGTACCTATTTTCTTTTTTCATTCACTTTCGATCCGTTCTAATCCACAACAGTCATTCACAGGTCTCCCATGTCCACTTCGTTGCATGTTTGTTTTAATGTGACCGCCAAACGAGGCAAAAAAGGCAAGTTTTAAGGGGATTATGTGACTTCTGCGATGTATTTGGGGCCACAAACAATTTTCGCGAACGTGCGTTTCTTCCGATTCCCGAGCTGATAGTTGATCTCATCTGCGCAGTTAGATTTCCTTTTCTCTTCTCTTCTTTTTTTAAATTTATGTATGCGGACGGCTTCTCACAGCTTCTCTCACTTTTCATGTCAAGTCTGGTTTGACCATCAGCATCAGTTTCGGGCGCTCAGCCTGAAGTTAACACTGCTCAGATCGATGACATACGATATGATCCCGCTGTCTGTGTCTTTCGTTGAATCTAAGGGTAGCAAGGGGCAGTGAGCGCCGAGGCATATCCTATAGAGCCAGCAAGGCCCGCTAGAAGCGTTAACAGCAGAGTTTTAAAGTGTGAACATTGAAAATACTGCATCATTCACGATGATTTTTTTCTCTAGTTAAATAAGCACGCAGTGAGGTTTTCAGACTCCTCGTCCGTGTATTTGTTGGTCGTCGTGATGCTTTGGGATATCGATGTTGGTGGGTATAAAGATACGCATTCAGAGTCTCCAAGTTTTGCATTGAGTAAGCTAACAGCTCGCAAGTTGGTGTGCATTTATCTAAGTGAAGTAACACTGCAGGAATAAAAAAAAACACAGACAAGTAAGGAAACAGGGTGCGCCGAGTTTGCGTACTGTTCCTACAGCAAAACGGGCCCACATGAGTCAGCACGAACACCTCTCTTGAATTTTCCTTTCCTTCTTTGTCTTCGCTGTCGACATTCCCATTTTAGCTTTCGGCCAAAATCTACCACAGCATTTATGGCACTCGCTGATAAATCTACCTGAAAAATTATTAGTTTCGCCCTTTGTAGCGCACCTTTGATGCTATATATGCGCGAGGAATTCCGGTAAAGGTGACGGGACGCCGCATATAGCATTCCGTATCGTTTGTAAAATGGCAAAATGTTGTCAGTGTGCTTATGCCTATAAGTCGTCACCCAAACACTTGCCAGTATTAGGCGCCCGTGAGTACGGTGCATGACCACATCATGTTCCTTGTTGCTGAGCCTCTGGGGCGTCTCCTGCTTATGTCTACGTGAAGTATTGAAGTACGCCTTCGTGTGTGTTTGTGTGGGGGATTCGCATTAGTATGTCGACTGTCCTTTACACGTTTCCAGCAATAGTTCACAAAACACGCGCGCCTCGTAGTTCTCTCCCTCCACCCCAAGCTGAAGCGAGGTCTGCATGTGTTCGAGAAGAGCCTTTTTCAATATTACAATTTCTGAAATCAAGTTGGGGAAAACTTTGCTGCCACAGGAAGCGCTGGACAGCACTTCCGCGCGGAATCGCCATGATATAAGTGGACTCCGATATGCGAACAAAAACTATGTGAACGCATACAGGTCACTAGGACATATTCAAATTACTGTAAACAATATCTGGCATCATTGGTACCCGAAGTCGATGTAGTAGTCCCTCGAGTGGCGGCGTTCCCTTCGGGCATTCTTGAGCTCGTCCCACGAGATGAGTGTAATGGACGAGGTGGTGAGCGTGTAGAGAAAAGCACCACCAATGCCCTTGGCAAGACCACGCAGGCCCTCGGTACGCTTGATCTTGCGCACGCAGTCCCAGACACTGCGATAGTAGAGGCCCTCGCCTCGCGCGTTCGAAGGTTGCGCGTACATGCGCGCCCGGAGCACGTCGACGGCAGCGATGAAAGGCGCCGACACGAGGCCCGAGATGAGCGCCGCCAGCACCGTGTTGATAAAGAAGTAGCGCTCGCGACCCTCGGTGGCCGTGTTGAGCAGCGTCTTGAAGCCGATGAAGGTGGACAGCTGCAGCGCCGAGCCCGTGGAGATGCGCAGTATGTTGGACGAGGTGGCACGCCATAGGCCGTTCCACAGACCTTGCGTCCGGTAGATGTGCATGAAAGCCGCTCTCGCCGTCCTGTAGCCGTGCTGGTAACCCACAGCGATCGACGCCGTGGCACAGTGCACCTGCGTCGACGAGAGACACGTTGCTACCGCTCCTCTATTCTGATGGCTCTTATCCTCATGCACGATTCAAAACACCAGTATCGCTGCGTAACCACTGACACAAAAGTAGAGGTTGGGTCAGTTGATACCTTCCTCATCAAAAAATAAAGATATATGAATACACAATTGGGGAAAAGGGCGCGAAAACAAAAATATGTAAACAGACCCAACCCTGGTCTCATTCAATATATCTTACTTCTTTTCGCTGTTTTCTGCACATTTTTTTTTTTCATAGCGCAGTGAGGGATACATGCGCCCACCATCAGCGCAAGCCTATATTTTGGCCTCATTATAGAGTAGCAATAAAATGTTCTCGTCTACAGTACATGCGACACCTGAAGTAACCGTGCAGAACGTATACGACGTAGGAACAACAGCATTACGAATAATGACTGAATAACCGAGAGAAACAGTTTCACCACTCAAAAGTGAATCTACCGTTTTTCCCAATACCACAATGAACGCACCTCTCATCTTTTCACAGGTTCCCACCGACACCCCTGAGAAATACCCATAAATTTGGCCCAAGCCTGAATATTCGAGGCATCGATTGGTCCACTCACTCGCATTTGCATACGTGACTCATTGCGAGTGCCTGGGTATTTACGAACACTGCACCACTCGAGCATTTTGCCATATGCAGCGGCATTCGTCCCTGGCACGGACTCAGCGTATGAAATTTAGGGCACACGACATGACTTGGCCTACAGCAATGTGATTTGCCGCGGTTCATAGCATTATTCCACGCTAAACTACACGACTAAAACTGCTCTTCCATGACTGGGAGCCAAGTCACGCTAAAATTGCACAGATTTCGGCATGTCGTACCTGCATGTGTGTCTTGAGAAGAAAAAGCGGCGAGCCGGCGAACGCCCCGACGGCACCGGCCACACCACCGGAGATGGCACTCAGGCGAATGCTGGGCTCGAGGTTTTCATCCAGCGTGAACCCGAAGTCTTCGATGGTCTGGAACATTCCCAGTCGCAGCCCATTTGCCAACAGCTGGTACCCCAAGCCCGGCAGTAGGCCGCGGTAGATGGCGAAGATGCCATCGTGGCGGGCCACCGTGTACAACGCCTGTGGCACGTTGCGGTACACCGGCCGCATTTGCCCCGACTTGTCTGCGCCATAACACGAAATTTTACTGGACGCTTGTGCAACTCTACGTGCAAAGCTGAGACACCTGTTATGCGCGTACGAGCTGCAACATTCGGCCTAGCGTAGAGTGGTGGTCAAAATTTCGCGGACCACGAGAGCGCTTGTCCAACAGCACTTCTGCGCCTTCCAGCCGCTGCCTGCATAACTCAAAAGGGTGCACTGCGCTCGCGCGCCCTTTTTAACCTACCAGTTTGCTCGTTCGCTCTCTTGAACAGCGTGTGAACCACAACGCTACACGCAGCGCAAGGTGGCACTTTGGCTGTCACGGCACAAATCTTATCACAAAGGTCAATTTTCTAAAAGCAGAGGACACATGCATGTTTTCGACAGAGTGGAGCATTTTGGATTAAGGCCCACAATGCGGCGTGCACCGAGCACTGCCAGTACAAATTACGAAGTGACTCTTGAAAAGGGAAAAGAAGAGAAAAGTGAGCCCCGTTATTGTCTGCTTCAGTGAGCGACACCGCCACAGTAGCTCACGAGGGATGGGGGTGAGGAGGGATAAAAAGGATAGGAGTAAAGATGTAGGAAAGCCGAAGAAGGAGAAGAGAAGAAGAGACGTGAGGTGGTGAGCCAGAGCGAGCGACGACAAGATGAGGGGATAGAAGAGATAGGAAAGATGAAGCACGGTCACTGGAGTCCGAGGACGGGGCGCACCTGCGAGAGCTCCTTTCGGCGTCGGTGGATGGCGTAGAGCAAGTCCATCAGTACAAATTACGTGCATCGTCACGATACCATCGCTTGGTGTTTCCGCGGCGACAGCAGGAGAAACACCTCCTTTCTATCAATGCCAGTGCAAACGCGCGATTCTCAACGGTAGCCGTCGGTCTGCCCTAATTCAGGCAGCTGCCGTGATGCGCTATTCGATAATTCCAGCAACTATAGGTAGCGCGACGGTAGGTCAAAATGGCAGATGAGACAGTGCCATGCAGGAAGGACTCCATGGACGGTGCTGAGGTGGGCGCCTCAAGCTGGATGGATGGATTGATGTGGCTGTACCCTTTAGATCGGGCAACGGCTAACGCCACCTTGCCGTTATACTTAGTGAACCACCAATTAGATTTGTCTTTTTTTTTCTTTAAATAGTGAAGTATAGGACTGGTACTTTGAAGTGAATGGTTTAATTTTCACTCGTGCCTTGACTTTAGCCACCAATCAGACAACCTCCTTCTAGTTAATTCTACCCGCTTAAAGTCTATTTTGTCCTCCCTGTCTCTAGACCCCAGTACTTTGAAAAACTCTGTGCCATCAGCCTGAACTATAGTGTGAAGCCCTTTACAGAACATTATCAAGTGTTCGGCAGTTTCCTCCTCCTCTCCGCATGCACTGCATACCGTGTTTACCCCTTCGTATTTGGCCCGATATGTCTTGGTTCGCAATACTCCTGTCCTGACCTCAAACAGTAGAGAACTACCCCGAGTATTATCATAGATCCTTTCCTTGGCAATTTCCTGCTTAAAAGTTCGATAGCAAAGCTCGTCACGCCCTCTAGTTTAGCTGCACACCACACTTTCTCTCGTTAAAAAGGCGCATAGATATTTGAATGAAAATGAATCGGCGCTTATGAATACCGTGAGACCGAACTGCGTCGGAGACTTATCACCGTGTTCCAGGTTCGAAGGAAAGCCGCGTGGCGCCGCCTGCGTCGCTGGAATGACCGAATATGAGGAGTCGCGCTGCTCGCGTCACACGTGCTTCCGAGCGCTTTCTTTCGGAGTAGCGATAGATGTATTTCCCACTCCAATATCACCCGTGTGTCAGATTTGTTCCTTCAGGCTCCTTCTTTGTGGCTCGAAGCAATGCCGCCGCTGCATCACAGCGCTCTTAAGGTCGGCGCATGCAGTTTCATTGCAGTGACGTTTCCCGATTGCTAGCCCGCACAGCGCCACGAACGGTGACACGCTATCTCAAAACACCATATCACTTACAGAGCCAGCGTGACCGCAAACATTGTGATCACGAGGGGTGCAAAACGCCGCCCCACGGATCTGTACACAACTGAACAAAAAATTACTTTATATCATTCCCGACGTGAGGCACTGCATGAGGGGCCCCTTTCCCCTTAACCGCAAAGCACATGCGAAGGCTAGGCGATGGGCGAGAGCAGGAAAGGACTAAAGGAGAGGATGGTGAACGGCTGAATCGGATGCATCTGGCTGGCATTGATAAAATTCGCAATTTTGACCACCTGGAGAGGGCGCTGGTGCAAGCCCAACATGGCTGTCGTTTGGGGGATCGCGCAGCCGGCGCGCCGGTAGCCGCCCCCGGTGTGCTCGTCACTTCGTCCTGTCTAGTATTTTCGGCTGCAGTCACCTTGTTGCTGAGAAGTTCATTGAGTCTAGCATGTATTATATCCCACACTGCGTGTTGAGAAACGCGTGTGCGGAGTATATTGAAGGAAAAGAAGTTTCGCACGCCAGGCACATCGTCTGCTGCAGTGTACAGCTTGGTGAACGCTGCTCGTGCCACGGCTGGGGAAGACCGAGCGGCGGGGCTCGTGCAAAGCAAGAAGCCTCGACTTTGACTGCGCGGCGTCTGCACAGCAGCATCCAACATATTTAGTTATTCTTCTAGCTCAGCAAGCAACCAATGAAGATTAAATCATTGCTACTACAACTCGCAGTACCTGTCTGACTTCACAATAAGCGTAGTAGAAATTGCCAGCGACAAATTATAAAACACCAGCGAACCGCCAAAGTGAGGCCGACTGAACGATGGCATGGGCTGGCTGCGTGGACATCCCCTAAACGACAGTTACGACGGAAACCGCATGGCGACGCCACCATCTGTGAGACTTGCGAATAGAGGAGGAGCTGGCAGGAGTGACACCTTGCGCTTCTTCTGGTGTTTGTGTCCGGTCGTGCGCTCTGACCGGTCGTGCGCTCGCGCGCTCCGCGCGCTTGCGATCTCCCGCGTCAGCGTGGCTCTGGCCGACTGGACTCGCCCTACGTCATCTCCTGCCGCCGACGACCTTCCACCTCCGACGACAGTGCAGCTCTGATTTACTGGACTTGTTCTACGCCATCCACCGACGCCGAAAGGAGCTCTCGCAGGTGCGCCCCGTCCTCGGACTCCAGTGACCGTGCTCCATCTTTCCTATCTCTTCTATCCCCTCGATTTGTCCTCGCTCGCTGTGGCTTACCACACGTCTCTTCTTCTCTTCTCCTTCTTCGGCTTTCCCACATCTTTACTCCTATCCTTTTTTATCCCTCCTCACCCCCATCCCTCGTGAGCTACTGTGGCGGTGTCGCTCTTTGAAGCAGACAATAACGGGGCTCGCTTTTCTCTTTTCTCTTTTCATAGCCACTCCGCGCGCTGTTTAGGAGAGCGAACGAGCAGGCTGGTAGGTAAGAAAGGGCGCGCGTGCGCAGTGCATGTTCTGGAGCTTCGCAGGCAGCCGTCGAAAGACGCAGCTGTGCTGTTAGACACGCGCTCCCGTAGTCCGTAATATTTTGACCGCCACTGTACTCATTATTTCCATCATCGCAGCCCAGAAGGAGGAAAGCACGGCTATTGCTGTAAGTTGAATTCAAACACCCCTAAATGTACTCATTGCAAGGATGAAATTATTTTTAGTACATGACAAGCCTCTACTACGACTAACTCAGGAGAGTGCTGCGACTAATACGACTATCTCAGAAGGGTGCTGTTTAGCAGAAGCGGGTAAATTATTATTTGTGGAGTCGGATAACAACCTTTTCAAGGTAAATAACGGTCGTCGACCGGAACCTGTAAGTTAACGGTGTCTATTACTGTTTTTTTTTTTTAGAAAACAGAGAAGAGGCACATTCTTTCTTTGCGAGGCGCACGTAGTTTTGGGTGCGCGCGCGCGAGATTCGAAGGGCGTAAATTAGGGTGAAAATGTAAGATTCACCTCTGACTGGCGGCTGCAGCTCTCCTTGCAGCTGGATACGGATCTTGGCTACCTCGATGGGATGTGTGATGATGCTGGCCGAACACGAGGCCACAGCGGCAACTGCTACCTCCATCGGAGCTCCCCTATCTTCGTCCTTTGTTCAAAACTGACAGCAGGCCGCATAAGATCCTGCAAACGACAGCAGAGTGGTCGACACCTTGAGGAAAAGAAAAAAGTCATTCCGTCCAGATACAGTTTATAAGCCGCACGCACGGACAGTCGGCCATCCCCTTACGCGCTCTTCCAGAAAAAAAAAAGTACTACCACACGGCTCCAAATGCCTCGCCTCTCCCCCGCAGTCTGAATCAGAATGACGGAGCGATAATACTACGCGGAAACGCCGCATGCGCGCTGGTTTCCAACACATCTTGAATCCAGCGGCTATATCGATACGCGGTACTGGCGAAGTCCGAAACGAGCTGGTTGACCGCTCATAGACAACTGGAATTCAGTCAGCACATGAGTAGCCGCAGAATTATCAAGGGGGGAAAGCACAAATATAACACGGCAGTCAGTAATATTTGGTGGGTTTTAACGTCCCAAAATAAAGATATGGTTATGAAATACGTCGTGGAAGACCATGTGGAGTTCTCTACCGTACACCTAAATCTAAGTACACGGGCCAACAGCATTTTCGCTTCCATTGAAATTGTAGTTGCCGTGGCCAGGATTCGATCCCATGACCTGCGGGTCAGCAGTCGAGAACCATTACCACTACACCACCATGGCGCGGCAGCAACTATCTCGTTAAATGGAAGCCCGCGCAGAACGTTCAGCAGCGCTCTTCGTGTTTGTATGCGCGTTGTGTTCGAGTAGAGCGCTCGTAAGTAGTGCGTTGGCTATAAGAGTGTTTTCCCGCAGCGGTGGTCTAGTGACTGAGGTCGTTTTATTCATCATTATTTGTGCTCGTCTGCTACTTCCTGACCCGCAGATCGCGGGATCGAATCCCGGCTGCAGCGGCTGCATTTTTGATGGAGGCGAAAATTCTGTAGACCCGTGTGCTCAGATTTGGGTGCACGTTAAAGAAACCCAGGTGGTCGAATTTTTTTGAACCCTCCACTACGGCGTCCCTTATAATCAAATGGTGGTTTTGGGACGTTAAACCCTACATATCGATTGGAGGGGTGGAAGTGCTGTGCCGATTGCGCCATTCTGACCTGCTGCGTCAGGCTGCACAGAAACACAGGACGTTCACCCCGCATATCAATCATTATAAATGTGTTCCGCGAACCAAGCAGCGTCCCATCTGCTGTGGCTATTTGTTGTGTATACTTGTTTCTGGTGCGAAGTACATTTCAGGAAATGAGAGCGTGAAGATTGGGCGAGGCACTGACTACTATTTGTTTAATGGCAGAATAACAAACAAATTGAAGACTTCCACACATGCACATCAGATCTAGGGTGTGACGCATACTGAGATGGTCACGACAGCGTTCTTTCTCGAAAACAACGTTTTAGGGGCGAGGCTACTCTTAACTTTGTCATACGCGTAACCGAGAGAAAGAAGAGACGACAAAGAAAAAGGCAGTATCTCCCGAACAGTGTAATAGACGACGCTGTCTCATAAAAGTACATACAAATTGCAGTTGAGTGAGGATATTCTAGATGGCACTGTACCACTACTCTCCAAATGGCTGCTTCGCAGGCGCTGCCTGGGTACGCGGAGAACGAGTACCTCTCTGTCTCCTGGATAGTCGCCATACTTGGCGAATCGTTGGTGGGGCATGGACGAAGCAGAGCAGCGGTCGCGTTGAAGACGCTTGCCTTCCTTGGCTCTCATCTGGTCGGTGTTACTCGCACGCTGTTTGCATTGATTTGATTTGATATGTGGAACGTCCCAAAACGAGCATACGATTATGAGAGACGCCGTAGTGGAGGACTTGAAGAGTTTCGACCACCTGGAGTTTTTTAACGTGCGCCTAAATCTGAGCACACGGATCTACACCGTATGCATTCTCGAACGCGATCGGACGCATGCACGGACAAACGAATGGACGGACAGACGCTTCGCCCCACTCATCTTTAGTCACTCCGTGGATGCGCTCTGATTTTTGACGAATATATTGCGATGGTTATGTCGTTGACACAAGCAAAGGAACCTGTGAACGAAGTGTAAATATTAAAAGAGTTGACTGTTGGGTGAGTTGGTGTTTTAACATAGTAACCATCGTGAGTAACACCACTATAAACAAGACCCACAGGAAGGAACAAACGAGCACAGGCGAACGCGAACAACTGATTTTATTGAACACAGATTGACACCCTTATACATCAACAAGCTGCGAAGACTCACCGTTGCATCAAGCAATATAGATTTAAAACAATCAAACAAGGTGCGAAAGAAATTGAAATCCTCTTGTTTCGCGCCTTGTTTTTGATTGTTCTTTTTCGTATTGTTGTTGTGACAGTCCACCTGCGCAGATGATTGATGGATAAAGGTGTGAATCTGTCTTCAATAAAATCAGTTGTTAGTCTGCGCCTGTGTTCGTCTGTTCCTTCCTGTGTGCCCTGCTTAGTTGCGCTACGCACGATGTATATGTCAAGTGCGAAGAAATGTACCCGCCTTGTTCAGTGCAAGATTAGGATGCACTTACACACATACATTTTTGAAATAATATAACGCTATATCCTTGGCTCTCTGACATAGTAACGCACAATATTGGCGAGAAGTAACGATATGTGCTATACGGCGCGCATGCGCACAAAGCACACGCGATCGCCAGCGCCGTTCGCAAGGTTACTCTATGAGGAACAAATACAGGTCTTTCGTCATTATTTATGCTGTAATGTATGTGTTTAGAAAACCGGTGTGAAGCATCCTGGGGCTACCTTTGCTCGCTATTGTTAAAATATTACAAGGATTGCCAAATATGTATTTCGAAAAAGAAAAGCTAACGTCACGAAGAAGAAACCAGACGTGCTATATGGCCAATATGTGACCGATGCTTTATCTACAGCGCTGGTGGTGACACATATATGGTCGGAAAAAGGGGGAGGTGGTCGGTATAGAATTTAAGGGCCGTATCCACTAGGCAGCTCTTGCGTAAGAGCGTCTGTCAGATTGGCCCGGCGCGCGAGGCGCCTGCGGTCGATTTATGTGATAGCAAGACCGTCGTCGTGGCAATGGTCAACCGCGGAAGGCAGTAATGTGACCAAATTTTCGTTATTTCGGACCGAATTTTTGAAAATACCCAAACACGATCTCCCTAGGTGATAATATTTTGTCAACCTTAACTGAATTCATGAATGATGTCCGGTTAAAACTTGTGCTTAGTCTAGTTGGTACATATCAATATAAGAGGAGAACTTCTTCGGCCCAAACAATACGGAAAAACGAAAGAAGAGGTGAGGAAATAAACAGACTGGTGCCAATCTGTTTCCTTCCTAACATCTGTTTTTCGTTTTTCGTATTGTTTGCGCCAATGAAGTTCTCTTTTTATAATGATATCCAGTTGCATGTGAACAAAAGGTATATTCTAAACAAAAAAGTAAAGAAAAACTATATAGTATTTATGAAGTTTTTTTGTAGAATTGTAGAAAATATAGGTTCTCTTATAGCCAGTGTACACAATCGGCTTAAACTAAAAGTGGAACCCTCATATGGTTCCTCATGGAACCCTATGAACCTTATGGAACCTTTAAATATCACGTAACTCTATGAGGAACCCTAATAGGGTTCGCACATACGCTGTACGTTGCCACATATATGCAATAAATGCTTTGTAGTCCCCATAAAACTCGGTCTCCGTCAAGCTTGCACTGAAGCACGCACAATGCCTCTCATACACATGAAGAACTCCAGTAGTGAAGTTACACCAGCGCGTGCAAACACTCGTGAGACAGAGAGAGAGAGAAGACACAGGAGTTCTGGGAGGTTGGCTAGAGGTAATTCACATCAGCTGCCTTGTACGTGTGAGAATAAAAAGAGGAGAGCTGACCAGGCGATACAATGAGAGACGAGCAGAACTAAATCATACGCGTACGCAGACAAGCGGTAGCAGGCGGTGCTATTAAAGTCTATGATTGTTGACCCACAGGCCCATAACCAGGAATGTTTTTTTTTTTGGGGGGGGGGCGGGGGGGGGGGAGGCGGAAGTGCACCTGTTGAAGGCCTTAAAATACACCTATTTTTTACTAATGCCATCGGCAAAACACAGACCTTTATTTAAATTATCCGAAATGAAGGCAAATCAGTCTCCCCGTTTTCCTTTTCCTCGGTTGGCTGTAAAGCACGTACCTAAAGATATACACCTCCATAATTGAGTCGCCTTAAAAGTTCATATACCGCACTTTTAATGTTACGGGGTATAATGATGCCCTAGAAATACACGTATGAAACTCGTAAATCTGCAGCGAATAGCACTGATGTACAAGAAAATAGGCTGACCGCGTTCTTGTGTGCTTCGCGCCAGACGTGTCACAAAAAATAAAGTAAAATAGACGTGTCGAAACTATACCGCATTTCATAATTCATATTAGGAACCATCAAATAATGAAGCCAAAGAAGGTATATATGGGATGTTCATTGTACCGTTTCAAGTGTATTGTGCTAATTATGATATAGATGTGAAGACAGTCAAGTGGACGAAAAAAAGAAGTCGCCTGCAGGGATTCAACGTGCGACCTTCGGCTCGAAAGTTGCAGGTTAGGTCCCTGCAGCGACTTGTCTTTATGTCTTAGGGGCATTATTGTTGTCTTCGGCATAATCGTTTCATTCACTCTCCAGCACAACCTCGGTTTTGGTCTTCAATAATTTTTTTTTTCGAATTTGTCGTCATCGCTGCTGAAAAGCGCAACTTCCTGTGAAAAGTGTAGTTTGCCGAAATACTCTCCGTCAATGTTCATTCTTTTTTTTTCCAAATTTCATAGTCTAAGTACCACTTCTCAGCATTCCGTGAACAACATCGGAGAGATTGTGTCTCATTGCCTACCAGTAACCTAGTAAGCTACAAGTATGAGTAATATTATAAGATAAGCCAAATACAGTGACTCCCATAGCGGACATACAAGAAAGCAATAATCATATATGCACACAATAATGCGAATCTACTTTGCTTAATTCCGCAAGTCTGTAGAAGGGTTCAGAAAAGGAAATTGACTACTACCCATTTGTAGGAAAAAGCCAGAAT